TAGTTAAATCTGAAATGCATATGAATCACTTGCTACTGATTTTGCTAGTTCTGCTTGAAAGGATTAGAGTTTTTAGCATTTTTCTAGTTATTCCTGTTGCATTATTGTTTTTTTTAAGTCATGGTATTCTTTTATTAGTGCTAGCTCCCTTAGTTTTTGTCAGAGCTAAACAATATACAAACGTCATTCTTTTTATTCATACAGTATACAAAAATGTATAGTGGTTTGGTTTGGCTTTTCAATAATTTGCTTATAGCCAGATGTCATATAAATCTATGAATGTAACAGATAGGAACAGTATAAATAAGTTTTGTCGTTTTTACACTTATACAAAACTAGTCCAAATGAGCCCCAAGAAATTAACTCCAGAGTTAAAATGAAACTGATTCAACATTGAGACTTTAATGCTTCATAAAGTTTCCTATTGTTTCTACACTAGCCATGGCTAAAATTCTGCATAGTTACTTATAAAGTGTTTCTGCATTTCACATCACAGTAGGAAGTTCTACCAGGACAAAACAAACACTAGCTCAGAACAAACGGCTCCATCTTCCCAAACCTAGTTTTTCTTTGTATCTGGCTTCTTGCTTTTGGGAACCAGGAACACATTGCCCTCTCTGGTCTGCTGCAGAAAGTACTTACTAGGAGAGTAAGGGTTTTCAGCCTCATCACTTAACATGCTGAAGACTTCAAGATGCAAGGTGCTGCTCTGCCTCTTCAGGAGATGAAGGTTTCTGTTGTTTTCTCCCTTTTCTCTAAGTAGCTTTTCTTGCTCATCTTTTAAGTGGCCTAGGTCTTGTTCCAGTTCTACCATGTTCTCCAGTTTCCTTTTTCTACAATTCTGAGTGGCGACTTTATTTTTACCTCACCTGCGTATATCTCGGATTAATGCAAACTGAGCTTCATTGAATTGCTCCTTGAACATCATTTCATTGAAGTCATCAACAGGGAGGTTAATGATTTTTTTCAACAGGGAATGGGATACGGAGAGCTTTTGCCCTAAGCTCCTCTCTCGTGAGATGAGCCTCCAAGCGGCTTGAATGTTTGTCTTTTGTGAATGAGACTTTTTGATAGACAGGACTCATAGGCCTTTCTTTTGCTGTTGTATTTTCACAATGCCGATCATGCACAGGAACACGGTGCCCTTGAGCTGGTGACAGAAACTGCACCGGACCCCCAAAAAGAATGACTGACGGCGGCGGCAGAGGAAGGCATGCTGCTACCGCCACTGGGCTCTGCTACAAAAGCAGAATAAAACTCACCACCAAAATCTGTGTTTAATGTGGGATTTGAATCTAAGGAGTTGAGCTGGCTGGCATATTCTGTGGAGAGGATACTGCTGAAAGAATCTTCAAAACCGTGAAGGAAATGGGGACTGCAGCTGCCCATTTCTTTATCCAGCGGGGATATGGAGGGGTAGAAACGGTAATTACTGTCAATTTCTGTCAGGTTGGCTTCTGGACTGGGAACAGTGGAAGTCTCAACCAACAGCTTGTTTTCAGTATTAAGACACTGTAACTCGGGAATGAAATGTAGCTCCTGCCAAACAGCTCCATGTCCTGTTGCATGCTGTCTAGATCAGTGGCTGTCTCCAGAGAGCTGTCCAGTGACTAAGCCTGGTCCAGACTGCTGAAGACTGGGCTTTCCACGTGGCTGGGGATCTCCAGGGCGAGTGACTCATGGTTACCAATTAATGGGATTCTCTGCCAAAAGTTGCATGCAATCTTCAAAGTACAGGGCATCTGGTTTGGAAATGTGGGAATAGCTGACAGGTCCACTACTGTTTGTTGAGATGTGTTGGGCTGGCTGAACTGGAAGGAATTCTCCTGCCTTTTCACCCAGTTGTAGCTGAGTGAAAAAGGCCTTCTCCTATTCCTTTTGGAGTTGCTCCTGTCTCTCCTTTTCAAGTTTTTTCTGTTTTTTCAGCTCATTGTCCTTTTGTTGCTGACTGAAGTGAAACACTTCTCAGTTTACCCAGAGATCTATGTCTTGCCTCCAAAGGATGTCAATCAAATCCATATCCTGCTGGGACTGTAGTCCTGTTGGTGGCAACTCCAAGTCTATCATGCTGAGAACGGACTGGACGCTGCACTGGAGAAACCCGGCAGCGAAGCTACGAAGCTAGGCTGGCTGGTGCAGCGGCGGCAATGGCAATGGCAACTCAAGCGAGCTGCAATATTGTTATTAACCTGAGTTATTTTTGTCTGCTAACCACCACGGATTCTAATTAGAAAACTATATAGCTCAACAAAGCAAATTGATTATATGCTAAGTAAGTGTTAAGTAGTATAAAATGTTTAAATACATGCAACATTTGACCCTAAAGAACCACATTTCACTTAGTGTAATAAGAAAATAGAAATAAAACAAGATTCGGAATATACTTAATGCTAAGTATGTATCCAAAACTGAACATTCAGTGAGACTACACTGAAAACAGAATTTCCTCCAGTCTGAAATAATCATAGGCAGTTCCATAGAGGACAGAATTAGATTTAATTTTTCTTAAAGATTTACATTTGTTTATATGTAGACCACATGCATTAGGATCTCAAGGAATCCAGAAGAGGGTGTCAGATCCTGTGGAGTTACAAGTGTTTGGTTGCCATCGGTGGGTTCTGAGAATGTAACGTGTGGTGGTTATTCTTCATTGTCAACTTGAGTATGTCTGAAATGAACTACAAATCAGAAATGGAGGGCACACTTATGAGAGATTTTTGCTTGGTTTGAAATGGGCAAATCCACTTCTAATCAGGACTGTTAAATCAGGAAAACATATGCATTTAATTTGGATGTTGCTGGGCCACACCTTCTGCTGGAAGCCCATAGGCAGAGGCTGTGTGATTGTTCCTGACCACCCAGACCCAAAATAATAGCATAGAAACTGTATTATTACAACACTACTTGGCCTATTAGCTCATGCTTCTTACTTGCTAGCTCTTGTATCTTAAATTAACCCATTTCTATTAATATATGTATTGCCACATGGTTGTGGCCTATGGGTAAAGTTCCAACTGGCATCTGGCTTCCTGCATCAGGCAAATTGTTTCCAGTGTCCAGACTCTGTCTTCTGTGGCTACATGTTTTCTCTTTGACTCCATCTACTCTCTCCACCTCTATCTGTTTGGAATTTCCGCCTTGACCTATTCTTTGTTACAATAGGCCCAAAGCAGCTTCTTTATTAACCAATGATATTCACAGCATACAGAGGGGAATCCCACATGAGAAGCCTATACAAGTACATGAAAGAAGGAAGCTTTTACTCTAAGCCTGCTAGCTCTAGCCTTGCTAGTGGTTCCATTTATTCACTGACATTAAAGTCTACTTCTTCACGATTCCAGTGTCCACCAAAGACCAGCTGAGACATCCAACCTTATGGACTGCCAACATTGGATTTTTGGACTTTTCATTCATAGCCAGGAATTGTTGGATTTGTTGGACCATAGCCTGTAAGTCATTCTAATATATCCCCTTTCTACATATATAGAAAGAGAGAATCATACTATAAGTTCTGCGGCTCTAGAGAACGCTGACTAATACAGAGCTAATGTCCTCCTCTACAGTGACAAGTGCTCTGAACCCCTGAGCCATGGCTTCATTACCTAGAGTTGGATTTCCAAACAATTATTTAAAATATCCAATGGGTGAAGGAAAAAAAGAAGGCTATCAGAAGAAATTCAACATAAACTGTCACAATTCTTTAAGATGTCTCCAAAAAAAGTTACCCACATGAGTCTTATTCTTCTTCACACCCTCATCTATTTATATTTGCTAACACCACATACTAATCTCCCCTGCCCCATGGTTAGGAAACGTTGGCGAAACTGGACAAGAAAAGCTGTTACTGGGGTGTTTGCACTATAAATATGAATGCACTTCCTGAACACTCTTTTTAACAAAAACAAGCATCCTGTTTAATTAATGTTATTTGAACATTTCTTAAGCCCCAAATAGCTAAGTATTAATGCATTACTGCTGAAATTGTTTTTGATGAATATAAGTAAAATGAAAAAAGAAATCTTAAGAAATTCTTGACAACCAACAAAGCTCCACAGAAGATATATAACAGAATTCTTTAGCCTGAAGATGAAGATAAACACAGCCATGAGGTCACTGTTTGAAAATGGTTAAGAAATGAATGGGGAGGAAACAATATTGCTAAATGAAGATAATTAATACACAACTTTTAATAATAGCATGAAAGTCAATGCTTTTCATTCCCCAATCAAAGAAAACACACTGGCAGATTAGATTAAAAGATAAGACCTATCTATTTGGTGCAAGAAACATACCTCAAGATCAAAGACAGACACTACTTTAGGGTAAAAGTTTGGAAAATTGCAACCTCCCCCATCCTTCAACTTTAAAAATTAATTTTTAGGACATTTCAGAATTTTTAAGCAGTATATATAAAGAGTGAGATTATTCAGTGTTGTAATGGATGCATTTTAATTTTTGAGGAGAGGAATTCCATACTGTTTTCCATAACAACCATGTTAGTTTTTATTCCCACCAAGGTGGGCAGTTTTCCTTTAGTTCATATTCTCAACATATTCATCTCTTCTCTTGTTTGGTAATTGGCAGAGGGCCAGGCTTGATTACTAGACTATTGCATTGGGAAATATGGCAATACTTTTTTTTTTTAGAATAGTAGATATCTGAGTCAGAGAGTAGTGGCACACACCTTTAATGTCAGCACTCAAGAGGCAGAAACAGGGGGGCCTAGTGTCCCGCGAACATGGCGCCGACGCCTCTGCCTGCTTCTGGCCTCAGGAAATAGAGAGACACAGAAAACGTGGCCCATGGCTGCTGTGGCGAGCCCGAGGAAGAGGGGATGAGTCGGAGAAGTCAGGTCCGGAGTCCGCATTGTGTAACCTGTGCCTGGAAGGGCATGATGCGGTGGGAAGCAGCACTGCCGCCCGGCGAGGGGCATCCGGGATGAGCGAAGCCAAGGGGCGGCCCCTTCCACTTCTTCGGAAGTCGGGAAAGGCTTTGAGACATAGGACGGCCTCAGATGTTTCACATAAAGCGTTTTCCAAGGCTTCCTTGCCGGCTCCCGGTTGGCTCTCCTGCGCTGTGAGAACGCATGGAGATCTTTCATGTTCTTTGGGTGTGTGGCGCGCGCTTTTCGACTATTTTATTTCTACTATACGAAGCTGTAGTCATTGCAAGTAATTCCCTTGCGCTCTTTACGTAGTAATTTGTCATCAAACCTGGTCTCTCTTCACCACAGACTTTTTATGTACTTACAGGTTGGGGGTTGGATTTTGAGTAACTGGAAAGGAACTACAAGGGGGTTTTCCATCCCAATTGATTTAGGTTTTAGAAATATTTTTTTCTCAGATTATGTCCTAAACGCTGCATCCCAGATCTCAGCTTACAATAAACACTGCGATTGTTTATATGCACAGGTTTTATATGCACCATTCTTTCACCAAATTCAACAGAAATATAATATCACCTACTGCATTGTTTTTGGCTGCAAAAGTGGAAGAACAGGCTCGAAAGCTTGAACATGTTATCAAAGTAGCACACGCTTGTCTTCACACCCTAGAACCACTGCTGGATACAAAATGTGATGCTTACCTTCAGCAGACTCAAGAACTGGTTTTACTTGAAACCATAATGCTACAAACACTGGGTTTTGAGATCACCATTGAACACCCACACACAGATGTAGTGAAATGCACCCAGTTAGTAAGAGCAAGCAAGGATTTGGCACAGACATCCTATTTCATGGCTACCAACAGTTTGCATCTTACGACCTTCTGTCTTCAGTACAAACCCACGGTGATAGCATGTGTATGCATTCATTTGGCTTGCAAATGGTCCAATTGGGAGATCCCTGTGTCCACTGATGGAAAGCACTGGTGGGAATATGTGGACCCTACAGTTACCCTAGAGCTGCTAGATGAGCTAACACATGAGTTTCTACAAATATTGGAGAAAACGCCTAGTAGGTTGAAGAGGATTCGAAACTGAAGGGCTATGGCTAAGAAACCAAAAGTAGATGGACAAGTATCAGAGACACCACTGCTTGGTTCATCTTTGGTCCAGAATTCCCTTTTAGTAGATAGTGTCACTGGTGTGCCTGCCAACCCAAGTTTCCAGAAACCTTCAACGTCAACGTTCCCTGCTCCAATACCTCTAAATTCAGGAAATACTTCCGTTCAAGACAGCCGTGCATCTGAATATTTATCAGTGCTGGCAGCAGGAATGCCCAGCACCTCATACAGTTTGTCGTCACACCAAGAATGGCCTCAACATCCAGATATCAGCCAGGACAGACCCAGGATACACACAGAAGCAGGAGACTACTCTCTCTGGGAGCCAGTACATCAGCTTCCAGCAGGGTCCTTCTATGACGCTGCATTCAGGATTACATCACAGGCCAGACAAAGTTGCTGATCATTCATCAGCTAAGCAAGAATACGCTCACAAATCCGGGAGCAGTAAGCACCATGGGCCTGTTCCTGCTGTTCCTGGAGTAGTTCCTCAGAAAATGTCTTTAGATAAGTACAGAGAAAAGCGGAAGCTGGAAACCCTGGACCTGGACACACGGGATCATTACATAGCTGCCCATGCAGAGCAGCAGCACAAACATGGGCCGGCAGTCGCAGGCAGTTCTGTCACTTCTCCCATTAAAATGAAACTGCCCATCACCAACTCTGACAAACCTGAGAAACACATGGCAGAAAAAAGGGAAAAGAGTGGATCACTGAAGTTATGGATACCCATCCCGCCCCCTGATAAAGGTCCCAGTAAAGAGGAGCTGAAGATGAAGATCAAAGTGTCCTCAGAAAGACACAGCTCTTCAGATGAAGGCAGTGGGAAGAGCAAGCACTCGAGCCCACACATCAGCAGAGACCACAAGGAGAAGCACAAGGAACATCCTGCCAACCGCCACCACAGCAGCCACAAGCATTTGCACATGCACAGCGGAGGTGTTAAGCATGCTGCTGATGGGATGCTACCTACTGTGCTGAGGAGTCCTGTGGGCCTGGGCATCTCCTCCAGCTCCAGTGCAAGGAAGAAGCTGCATATCAACGATGCCTCCCACAACCACCACTCCAAAATGAGCAAAAGTTCCAAAAGTTCAGGTAGTTCATCTAGTTCTTCCTCTGTTAAGCAGTATCTGTCCTCTCACAGCTCTGTTTTTAACCATCCCTTACCCCCTCCTCCCCCTGTCACATACCAGGTGGGCTACGGACATCTCAGCACCCTCGTGAAACTGGACAAGAAACCAGTGGAGCCCCACGGTCCTGAGGCCAATCACGAGTACAGTACAAGCAGCCAGCATTTGGGCTACAAAGACACATTCGACATGCTGGACTCATGCTGGACTCAAATGTAATCATTTGTTTAGGTCAACTTTTCCTTTGCTTTTTAATTTAAAAATGGTTGGAATGGAAAATTTCCTCCTGGTCCAGCAGTGGTGCCACTGCCTCCATATTTGTAAGTGCTGCTTTTTCCTTCATTCTGAAAAGAAGAGATGCTAGTAAACAAGTCTATCTCCACATACGATAGTGTTACCAGTACTGTAAACGCATGGAAGATGCAGCTAAGAACATTAGGATGAATGGCTGGCTGCTGCTAGGAATCTAAGCTGCCTCAAGCTTTTGTTATTTATAATTTGAATACTGTAGCTGTTTTTTGTTGTTGCTTGGCTTTGAATGAGTGTCAATTGTTTTTCTTTTGTGTATTTATACTTGTATGTATGGTTTGCATGTCTCAGTGATAAAGGGATAAAACAGAATACTGACAACTGTTTACAAGGAAGTGGAGAAAAATGTACATACATTTTTGTATGTTTAGATATTACCATAAATACTCAGGATCGGAGCTGCTTGTAAGTATAACAATATACAAAATAACTTTATTTTCTCTCGTCAGAGTCCATCACTAATCTAAAACACAAGTGGCACTTTTTTATGTTAACCTTAAACTCTAGGCCTTACTGGAAGCCGCTGAGGGGACACTTCACTACTAGACGGGATGCGGTGCCACGGGTGGTCCTTAACACTGGGAAGCTCTCAGTGTGCCTTCAGAGGTTCTGACCAGATTGGCTGCAGAGTCAGCCCCTAAGTTCTGAAGGCTTGAAGAGGAAAAAATAATAATAAAGTTTACATACACTTGATGTGAAGTGCATTTACATGTTTGTTGGCTTGTTGCAGTGCTGTAGAAGAGCAGTTAATAACGGGCGTGGGGAGGACTGTGACTTAACTCACAGGAGCTCCCAATGGAGAACTGGTCCATTTCTTCAAGGACTTTGACACTACAGAGTTTAACAGTGAACAGGGATCACTTTTCCTTTAGTATTTGCAGTGACACCATAGTCTTGAATATACTCTTCCCATGGAGAGAGAGAGTGAGTGAGTGTGGGGGTGAGAAAGAGAGAGATACCATATTTCTTTTTCAGGTAAATGCAGTCTTCCTTATAAAAATGAAATTAAACCTATGCTCTCTTGATTCTTTTATATTCTAACAATAAATAAAAAGAAAACAAAAACAAACAAAAAAAGAGGCAGAAACAGGTGGATTTCTGTGAGTCTGAGACCAGCTTGGTCTCTAAAGTAAGTTCCATGACAGCCAGAGCTATTCCACAGAGAAACCCTGTCTCAAAAAACCAAAACCAATGAGAGTAATAAATAAAAGCAGACATCCAGGATATTTATCAGAATAAATATTTATTTTAATTTCTCTAAAAGAAGATTGAAAAGATGTCATTTATTTTATACTTAAAATAACCAAATATTTAGCTGCATACTTTCTACAGTATATGCCATAAGCTATAGAGAGGTGTAGATGAAAGAAGTGATGAGAAAATTAAAATGGAAAGGCCTTTGGAATGGTGGGAAGAGACAAGTCCCTGTATTAGTCCATTTTTTGTTGCCATAACAAGAAATTGAAGAGGAAGAGACCCTTTTGTCTCACAGCTCTGGAGACTGACAAGCCCAGGGTCAATGCACCAGCATCTGCCCAGAGTCTACTGGTACAGTAACACCACAGCATGGGAAGCATCACATGGACAGAGCTCATTTTTACTTAGAGTCACTCTCATTATCACAACATTAGTTAATTTTTGACTTGATTAATTTGGAGGTGTCAATCAAACCAAACTCTTCCCTTCCCTAGATCCTTAACTATGGGCCTCTGGTGTCAAGGTCAAACATTTAATCAAGGTTGTAAGATAGCTTGGAGTAGAGTGTAGAGTCAGGATTTTGCAGTTTTCTGCAGCTGTCTGCAAGATGACCTCATGAACAGAGAAAAGCAAGGGCCACACAAGGCCTCCAGCGCCCTCTGCTGTCCTGGACTTCTTTCTACAGAACACCTCTCTCGGAATGGCACATCTGCACCCATGTACACTTACATTTATACAATAAAAACATTGGTTACAGAGTAAAAACACGGGAGTGAGCATCTGTAGGAGTCATGGTGGTTTTTGAGTCCATGCTTTGTGTCACTAACAGCACTGGGAGGGCCAAGGAATGACAGCCTTGACAGTTCAGTGCAGCAATCTCATGTGGAAGGCAAAGGAATAGAGATGCCACTCTCAATCAGGAGTCAGGACAGGGATTGCAGTCGTGGTTCAGCTTCTTTTGGCAGATCCAGCGGTTGTCTGAAGAACAGAAGTCAGAAAACACTTCTTTCTGTGAGATGACTGCACAGCTGTTTTCTTCTTCAGTGCCCATGATTCTTAATCTAAAGAGCAAAGAATAGCTGCTCCTAGGGTTTAGGGTTTTCTTACAATTATCACATCAGCCATTAATTTTCTCTGGACTTTTAAAGATGCTGTAGATTACATAGTGTTTAAGCATAGTAAACACAGTAACAATCACTAGAAACACATGTAAACATTAAAAATACAGCTGATAGAAATACTATAATTTTCAGTTTTGCCCTCACAGGAGAAGAACTCTAACAGCAAGAACCTTCATAATAATGTAGAAAAAGGAGGTTTGGGAATCGGGGGGGTGAAAACTCCTCGCTCTATTACTAACATGCATCTGATCATGTGGGAAGCATCTTCATTTTTCTGAGTTATGGATTTCTTAAATACTTAGTGTATTACCGGTTGCTGTTTGGAGAAGTCACTGAGATATGCATAGATGCATGACAACATTTACACAGAGTAGGTGCTCTGTAAATGTATTCGACACACAGGGTGAACACAGTGGGTCTACCAAATTGGATGCAGAGAAGAAAAGAACCTCAGCTCATGTGGAAATGGAGTTCCAACCTGTCTCAACCCGGAACTGGTGGGCCTTTGCATTATCATAACACGAGTCCCACACTCAGGGTTCCTGGGATCGCTGGAGGTGGAATGAACTGAAGTCATGCACAGACACAGGCATCTTCTGGGGTGATTAAAGGAAGGGGTGAGCTCAAGAACAGCCTGTCTTGAACAGAGGATGTCACCTATCAGGAAGTAGGTAGGGTTCCCTCACAGCTGAACTTTGCCTCTCTTCATTTCTTCTCGGAGTCCCTTGTCCCTAAACAGCAAATTTGATGTCACCCTCACGTCCAGCATGCTAACCAAACTATGAGCTTTCATTGGCTGGGCTTCTGCAAATGTCCCTATTTTTTTTTTCTCGTCCTTTAGCTTCTTTCTTCAATCTTCAAGATCCTTTTCTTAAGGCCAATCTGTTCAAATCAATGACTTATTTTCAAAAAGTCTTTGATGGATTCCCAGGGATTCCCCAGCCAGACTTCTGGTGAGGGATCTAACATTATCTCACTTAATTCCCAAAATAATCCTGTTTTCAAAATTTTTACTTTGCATTTAATTCCCCAAGTTTCCTTACCTGAAAACCAGGGCTCTAGGAGTTAAAATAAACATTTACTTTGTGTATGTGTGGGAGAGAGAGTGGGAAAGGGGAGGGACAGAGGAAGGGTTAGAGCTTGTGTAGAAGTCAGAGGACAATTTGGGGGGGGGAGTCTCCCTTTCTAACTTGTTTCTGTCACTGTGCTGTGGGATGTGGGATGCCCCTCTGTGTGTTGTGAATACCATTGGTTGATAAAGAACTGCTTTGGACCTATAGTAGAGGAGAACAGATGTCTGTGGGGAAAACTAAACTGAATGCTGGGAGAAAGAAAATGGAATGGGGGACAGACATACCCGAAATTTTGCTGGTAAACTACAGCCACCTGGCAATACAGATTAATAGAAACTTGTTAAATTAATGTAAGAGTTATCCAATAAGAAGCTAGAGTTAATGGGCCAAGCAGTGATTTAATTAACACAGTTTCTGTGTGGTTATTTCAGGGGTCTGGGTGGCCAGGAAATGAACAAGCAGCCTCCATAAAACAGCTGTGTATTCCAGGCTCAATGCCCCCGGTGCATCTGTATGATTCCTCTGTCTCCACCTCCCATCTCTCTACAGGAGTGCTGTGATACAAATACGATCTTCTGTGTCGGCTTTTTATATGGATTCTGTGGACTGAACTGGGAAGTTTACAAAGCTAGAGCTTTTATCCAGAGCCATTTTTCAGTCTAGTTCCATTGTAGCATGATGGCCTCCAAATGTACCTGGACACTGCTGTCTAATCAGAGTATCCTTTTATTCAAAGAGTAAAATCACACAGTAACTGAGCTAAATCCTTTGCCTTATGTAGATATCTCCACTTATCATCATATATTTGCTATGAATCAAAATTAAGTAAGCATTTTGCATCATATAACAATTAAGAAATACAGGGAGAGAGACATACACACACACAAAGGAACCCCTACTATGTATGAAAATGTTTTTAAACAGCAATGTTTATACTGATTCTGCCTAGAAAAAGTAAGTTCATGATATGCTATGCTGCAACTTTGTTGCCACAGTACTAAAGTCTTGCTTAAGAATTACTGTGTAGGGGCCTAGAGAGATGACTTAGGAGTTAACAGCATTTAATGCTCTTGCAGAGGATCCAGGTTCAAATTCTAGCACCCATATGGATGCTCACAATGATCTGTAACTCCAGTTCCAGGGAATCTGACTTCTGTAGGCTTCTGCATGCACATAGTACACATACATACACTCAGACACACACATATAAAATAAAACAAATAAAAGAAAAAATTAAATTGTATATAAATATAGGAAGTAGAAAAGTGGAAAAAGAAAGAAAAACCTATGTAATCCAGATAGAAATTTTAAAATATTTTTATCTCTTTTATCTTCAACCCTAAGAAGTTAATCTATTCCTTGTCCTTTAAAACTCCATTGAAAATAAATACAAACACACACATGCACACACACACACACACACACACACACACACACTCTCTCTCTCTCTCTCTCTCTCATACACACACTCTCTTATAAATGGTTGACGTCTACTTGAACAAGAAAAATTTCAACCAATCTTGGAACTGTCTTTTCAGCCTATTCTGACCCTCTCAAGAACTTATAAACTTGATTAAAATAAATTAAATTTTCAGTGAAGATTGAATATTCAGATTAGTTCTTTTAATACTTACAAATCAGGATTTAATATGGAGCCATTTATCCACTTCCAGGTTTTCTCCAGTGGTACATAGTTTAGTCCAATAAAAAATTGCTGTCTTTTTCTCCCTGAGAAATCATGAATGAATCTCTATAACCAAAACAGAAAGAAAGACTTAATCCACAATGTTTACTTGTGACTTACTTTTTTCTGCCAACCTTCTAAAACACTGTTACTTCTATTTGAAGTCCATTCTAGCTCCCCAGCAGTAAAATTCTCTCTTTTTTTGTGAAATTCATCCCTCTATATTTATACTTTTAATACTCATCACATTATATTCAGTTATTAAATCATAAATCCAATTCATATCTCAGATTAAAAGATATTTAAAATCTAAGTCTCCACTTCCTTAGCATAGACAGTCGGTTAAAGTCAGAGTATCAACATAGCTTAATGAAAGTGTTATATGTTCTACTGAGCAATTTACCAATTCTTCTTCATTTTCAATGAGCAGCAAAGTGGCTTCTTTCACAGAGCAATAAGTTAGACCTTCAGACCAAGGTCCAGAAGTTTGAGAAAGATGTAAGCATTTATCGTGGTATGGATGCCAATCTCTCGAACACATTAGTATGACTGATCTTCCTAGAGTGAAAAATAAGACGTTCTGTTTCAGTCCTGTTCCTGCTGCATGACAGCTCCACACAGTAGTTGCTTCATTAGCTTGTGCTGGAACAAGATCAATGCTCTCATATGGCAAGGAATCATACTTAATGACAAAGGATTTATTTTATGTTTTGTTTTTATTAATTAACTTCAAAGTAAACTGTACAGCATGTTCCTTAAAATAATCAAATATTTCACTTTTAACTTGATATTTGCCTATTAAGGATTATGTGTACCAGCACCCTGAGGCAGCATGGTCAAGTGACTAAGATGATAGATACCAAGGTCACACAGCTTCAATGCAGTTCCCAGCATCAATAATTATAAACTGTGTGACTCTTCATGAGTTCCTAACATTTTATGGCTGTTTTCTCACGAAAAAAAAAAACATAGTGATATAATGATTCATGGAGGGCTATTGTGAACTTTGACTGAGGTAACTCACAGTATATATCAAAAATCACCTCTTATTGTCAGGAAATTCAAGCCACACAATTACCTATTGGTTCAGTCCTGTTCTCTTGAGCAGACACACTGTATTTTTCTGTTGGTGATTTTTGCACTAAGAATCGCACTATTAAATAAGAAAACACATAGAAAGAATTAAATACTGAAACAAATGATGGAATGTGTATTCTGTTTCCCTGTTGCAGGATATTTGATCATACTGTGAACACAAAGATTGAATTGTTTAAATAAAATCAACTGTGGGTCAAGAGGTGGACCAAATAACCAGTTGACTAGAAATAACCACAGGAAGTTAGGGAAAGTCAGGAGCTGAGAGAGAGAGAGAGAGAGAGGAAGAGAGAGAGAGAGAGAGAGAGAGAGAGAGAGACAGAGACAGAGAGAGACAGAGAGACAGACAGAGAGACAGACAGAGAGAGAGGCACAGGAAGTAGAAGGGAGGGACCACATCTTAGTGGAGAAGATTTTGTTTCAGTTGGTGTAGAAGAAACTATTGCTGGGACAATAGCTGTAGCAGGCTTTTGTCTTTGGGCCACCAGCACACAAATAATGACATGGAGACTTATTATTAATTATGAAAGCTCTGCCTTAGCTTAGGCTTGTTCCTAACTAGTTCTTATAACTAAAATTAGCCCAATTTTTAAATCTGATGTTTTTTTTACATGGCCAATTCCTTTTACTCTGTGATGCTCATCTTGTTTTCTCTGTGTCTGTCTTGTGACTCTATCTTTCTTCATGCCCAAGACCTCGTGTCCCCAGAATTCCCACCTAACCTCTTCCTGCCTAGCTATTGGCAATTCAGCTCTTTATTAAACAAATCAATATGCCACAGTGACACATCTTCACACAATGTAAAGGAATATTCCACAACATTTAATGCTTTTGTCTAAATGAAAAGGAAAGATCTTAATTCTAACATACTAAAACTATAAATAATAAGAACAATTATCAGGTAAGAACTGCATTCACAATGTTCAGTCCATTTGTATTTGGCATATTTGAAGAAATTGGTAAATGCATCTTATCTTGATGAATTTAAAATTTTATACCTAAACCATTTTCTATCATAACTTGTATTACCATCTGAAAACTATCTTTTTGGACCTCAAAACGTTTTTTGACAAACAATTTAAGCTTTTATGTCTCTCAACCTTATACATTTTATACCTCTTTTGTGAGTGTCTTCTTTGAATTTGGTATAAAGAAAACTGTAACTATAACTATCTACTCTTCAACTCTGTCAGAGTCCCAAGAAGGATATAATATTACCTGAAGAAACAAGAGGTACAGACCAAGCAATTTTCAAACCTATTGAAATGACAGAAACAGCTGGTGGCCTATACCGTCTACCCATGGTTCCTGTACAACATTGGGTATCCATCTTTGGCCTACAGGCCTAGTATATTTGACAGACTATTTTGTGAAGCAAGAATTTTTGAAGGACAGTCCTATCCTATCTTGGCAACATTTGTCAATTGCTTTCTTTTGTGTCCTGCTTGTTCAGTTTGGGTAGCATAATGTCAGAAGTCAGGGCAACGACAGTTTCTTGCCCAAATGGCTATCTTTGGCCACAAAAAAAAGCAAACTCCATATGAAGATTCTTCTATGCCCATCATCCTCTTTTGAAGTAAATTAGTGTTGCCAGGAGTAGGTGTGTCTCACTGTCATGAAAAGCCTTACGCTATTAAAACATTTTAAATGCGTATTCTAATAGATCTTTGAAGTATTTGAAGATCACTTATCTATCTAAAATATCTCTGTATGATCTTGAAACTATACCTAACTTGACTATAAGTTTGATTGTTATATATGACTATTAACCTGTCTTTTTTATTATCACAAATAGCTTTCAAGAACTAATACTGTACATTATATTTTTAAATGAAATGCATAGATATAATACCTTAAACAAGAGTAGAAATATATACAGTATAGCTAAAATAAGCTTGACTTTGTATCAACATACAAAAATCCATACTAATTTAAAATATTTGAGACTAGTGGTTATTCAAAAGTATATATAGCAATCTACCCTTTTATCCCATCATTTCATATAATATACACCTTTTTTCTCTTCATAAAGAGATTCCTGAATATTTTTTAATCTGCATTTTTTTAATGAGGCTCGGTAACCTTTACTTTGTACTGTCCATCCTGCTTCCTCTGCATCTGGCTGGTGACCTTGACTTTTTTCTTCCTCGAGACTTCTCTGCCACCAAGAAGTCCCACCTAACCTCTTCCTGCCTAGCTTTGGCCATTCAACTCTTTATTAAACCAGTGACACATCTTCACAAAGTATACAGAAATTTTCCACAACAAACAGCAGAGAAGGAAGATGAGTCAACTGCTTTCTCTGCATCTCTGAGCTAGCAGGTTTCAAGTCAGCATCTGACTCCACAATCTTCACTGGTAAAATAAAAAGATAGAGTCTTAGTCAAAAACAACATTTGCCTCCCTACAAGGAGGTGGCTAAGGTAGTGGCAAAGGTGGGCAGTGAGATGTGAAAGTTCCCCTAGGTCACAGCCTCAAAAAGTGAGGCGATAGTTGAGAAGGTGTAGTTAGCAACTGAGGCATTGGTAGGTTAAGGAACAGCCACTGTGCTGCAGATAAAACAGTATTTCTCACTTCAGAAAATTAAATTATTTCAAAAAATATGAGCATATGGACTGAGAAAAAGTATCATCAAACTGGATTAAGAGACAAGCATGGAGACAGGATATAGGAACCAGAAAAGCACAGAATACATGGCAGCTCTGAGGTTGCATATGGTCTGATTGACAGGTCAAACTGTGGGTGCTCACAGTCACACCTGAGTTTGTACTTCTTCAATCACTTCCATTGCAAGAGAAGGTAGAGGTATGTAATAAGCTAAATATAGTGAGTTTTTTGTTTCCTTGATTTTTTCATATTTTTGTCATACGTATGACATATTCTTCTGCAGCTCTAGATATACATATGACACACCCCATGTTTCTCAGGAAAATTGAGAAGCACGGAAACAATGTGAAGTTTCTATAGTGGACAAGGAATGTTGTCCAGTAGCATTCAGTGTCATTGACCTCTCCGCTAGTCTCAAGGAGGCCAAATGCTATGGAGAGGACTTATAAGTTTATTTGGGAAAATTTTGAAGCTAAGGCTCTTAGTTCACTTACCTAAGACACTGAGTCCAATCAGGCTCAAGAAAAGAAGGATCAGCCCAGCACAGCCGAGTTTCAGAGCCAACGGATGCCAGTGTTGGCACTGATACGTATCTAAGAAGTGCAACATAAACACTTGTTAAATCTACTCGAGGACACATGAGATAAAAATCAAAGGTGGTTTTGTCACTATACAAGACACCTTAGCTTCAAGGACTCTTTCCTGCATTTTTAGTAGACTGGCAGAAACTGGAGTTAGTACTACACTCTATGTGTACTATTTTACAAACATACACATGTGTGCATGCACGTGCACACACACACACACACACAGACACACACACAGAGAGAGAGAGAGAGAGAGAGAGAGAGAGAGAGAGAGAGTCCTTTTCCTTGTAGGGTTTCTGACTGTAGGTGCAAAGTCGATGAGATATTAACACCTGCCTCAGAGACCATAGCATGCTGGATGCCAACAAGGAAACACTTAAATGGAAATTAAGATTTTGCCTTTAGAGATGGCATCACGTCAAGCAGAGTGATAATGGCAGACCTTCCTGTGAGAGGATGCTGGAGCCAAGTCATAAATGAAAATTATGAAATATTTGTGTACACTGTAAAGATATGTCTCTGCCTAAGGTGCCTTACAATTAGTTTTGTAAAGAGCTGAATGGCCACTAGCTAGTCAAGAAGGGGTTAGTGGGACTCCTGGGTACAGAGTGGACTTGGGGAAGAAGAAGAGCAGAGTCACAAGCCAGACAGAGAGGAAACAGAAGATGTAAGATGAGAGAGAGGTAAAAAGCCATGAGGCAGAAACAAAGGTTAATATAAATGGGCTAATTTAAGTTATAAGAGCTAGTTAGGAACAGGCCTAAGCTATAGGACAATATTTTGAAATAATAAGATGTCTCCAAGTCATTTTTGTTAGTTGATGTCCCAAAGAAAATTATGTTTACATCCAATATTATGTTGTACTGCATCATTTAATGTTATATAATGAAAATTTAAAATATGAGTGTTCTTAATACTAGGCTTTGTAAAAATCATCAAAATAGTGACTTGTGAAGTTTTCTCTATTTTATAAAAAAATGGATTTTCAAGAGTAGAGTGAAAAAAGGCAGAAATTTATGAAATAATGCACAAATACAAAACAAGAAACATTACTCATTAGGCTTATTTAATGGACTCAGTCACTCTGTGTTATACCAGTGTTCGGGGGAAATTCAAGGCTCTTTTAAATACACTAGTCTCCTCATATTTCGAGTATCTCTGGGAAGCTGGAGTCTTCACCTTGTCCCGTAACACAATATGTCCTAAAAGGCAGGAATGACAGCACAGATCTCATTCCTCAGGCTCAATGCCTGTGTGTTTCCTTCCGTGACAATCTTGTGTCACCTTTGACCACACAGCATTGCTCACTGTCCACAGAAGATTGCTTATAAAACCTCTGCATATGAGATCAAATCTCTTCTATAAAATGTGTTATTTGCACAGAACCTGTGCACTTACCGCTGTGTGTTTTAGATAATTTCCAGATTACCTACAGCTTCTAAGATCAACATCATCATCCAGAACAACGCTTGACCACATTTAGGGGCTCATTTCTGAGTGAATGTATGATCTCTGTGCACCTTTGTAGCCATCCTACTATCAAAGCAAACTTTTGATCATTTGGCTACAAAGCAGGTCACTGCCCATGTCCCTCTTTCTGTGTTTGTTTGTTGGTTCACTGGGAGATCTAACCACTGTGCTGTGAATTACCCGCAGTTTTGAGCTGTTTAGCTAATTGGTCAAGGCTGTTTCATTTCCTTCACTAGGGAGTCAGTGTTTTCCCTTCATGGGCTTTGCTCTGGCTTTATTCTACTGCTTTTGTCCTTTGGGTTCATGTCCAAGCTGATGCTTTGTAGCGTAATTCTCATAATGAGGGTGAACAAATTTTCTGGTCCCTTAGTTTGGAATCATGGATGGTAATGTTGAGGAAATCTTACTGTCTTTCTCAACCTTCATTTTCTCATATCCATTTAAACAAGGCCTTCCCCATCATTTTTCTAGGCTTTAAACACAGGAAAATAAAAGCATGTTTCTTCCTATCATACCAGCAAATAGAATCCTCCCAGCAGTTTCAAAGCCTCCACTTTCCCCTGACCCTGATGTGATGATGACAAAGAAGCAGATTTGATAATTCTGTTTTCCTGACTTTAACTTTTTTAAAAATTATTTGCTTGTTTTAAATTACCGAGTGATTTGGCTTTTGAGGTTTGGGTGCATAAATAAAGACATTTTTTCTTAAATACCTGTGTACTCCCTTTAAGAAAGAAGAGAATAAAATAAGGAAGCAAAAAGCAAAGGAAAGAATGAGGGAGAAAGGTAAGGAGGGAAAGAAGAAGGAGGGAAGAGAGGATGGGAAGGAGGGACAGAAGGGGAAATAAAGGGAGGGAAAAGCAAGTTTGTATTCTCTGAGCTAACCTCAGGACATAGCACCTCATATCAGGAGAGCTACATCTTGTATCCAATGATATAATGAGAGAAATGGGCAGTTGTATCTCACACAGATTATGCCATACTATACATTACATTTTAAACATTGTCATTAATTTTTACATAACACTGAAATAACTGACAGACTTTAATTACTAAAATTAAATCACAAAAAAGTGATTAAAATTTCGGGAAGAACAGTAACATGATAGTTCTATTGAGTCCTTATGGCAGAGTTCAAACCAAAGCCTATCAATGCAATGTTTTCCTTCATGGCATCATCCTATTACATAATAACTATGAGAGGTTTGTCCAAAGCAATATATTATAATTTTGAATGACCAGTATCATCAATGATTGTTCACAGTACATAACCCTATAAACACACTTTTCTTTTTAATTTTTGTTTTTGTTCTGACTTTAACTTTTATAATTTAATAGTTTCTAGTCCAAAATCCTAAAATGTTGACAATCACAGAGTTTCCAAAATGTAGAAATAATGCCAAATTGAAAATGTTGCAAAGTTATTGATATTAGTAAGGTCAGTTAGATCATAGACTGCAATATCTTCTCATGACAATTTGACACATTTTCTACCTCAGTTTCTGGTCCTTTGTCATACTCCCTCTGCCATGTTATCTTTTGAGGATTACCTCAGTCTTCCACATTCTTTCACTCCAATTACTGTATTCTCTAGGAGAGGAGAGGGCTGGTTTACCCAACACTGACTGCCAGGGGTGCAACTGCAGTAGGGTTGAATTCCAGTGTTTGTTCTGTACTAGGATCTAGAATGGACAAGTCTGCAGTGTCTCTAAAAACACTTTTCTGTTCATATGTGAAAAATATTATTTTTTCTGGGTCTTGTAACTAACACTGAATAGGAGAAGCCCTGTTCACGTTTCATGAAGGCTAGTCGTACAAAATGGCAGTGTGTATGCTTTTTCTTCCCAATGTTGTAGCTATCTACAGGCAAGCTGTCCTACACTAATCAACAATACTAAGAATACCACTACTTTAGAGAAATAACTTTTTAATTCATTAGTGTGCGTGAGTGTGTGTGTGTGTGTGTGTGTGTGTGTGTGTGTGTGTGTGTGTGTGCCTATGTGTGACTGCAGGCATATGAATGCCACACTAGGTGTAGAGGTCAGAGAACAACCTTCAGGAGCTGATTCTCTTTCCAACAAAGGTATTGGGAATTGAACTCTGCTTGTCAGGTATTTGCAGCAAGTGATTTGCCTAAGGACTCATCTCACCATCCCAAGCAACCTGTTAAAACTGAAACGTAATGGGAATCTTAATTCTAGAATATACCCAAGTACTTACCTGGAGGAAGAGATGGGGTTGGCGCACACTTGTGCCTTGGGGTCCTCAAGGTCTTTGCATCGCCACAGACTCTCGATGGGTCCATTGTAGGTTTGAGATGTAAACTGTGAACTGTGACAAGTTCTGTGAGGTCAAATGACAAAAGGAAATCCTCTGTGAGCACTCTTCTCTGCACCCACACTCACCCACACTTGAAGCTAAGGGTTTTTCCCACAGTTACTGAACATGGGGTCCACTGTGATCACATGGTTTCCATGTTCTTATCTTTCAAACAGAAGACGCAATACGCAATCTGCTCTGAACTTCTGGTTCTTCTTCCTTCAATCATGTGTCTTCAGTTACTTTACCCAGCACAGGCAAACAAAGCAATCAATATCGAATTAAAATTTGAGGACTCCTCCCCACTGCACTCCCAGGAAATGTTCTGTGCCATGTCATGAAAATAAAAACATGTGAAAGTCGTCTTTTCTATTTGACAAGAATTGAAGCTATAAAACCCTCCTGAAACATTCCTGCTGTGAAGGAAGCTGTGAAATGTGGAAATGAAAATGTGAATGTGGATTTGTAAATATTAATAATTAAAAGAAATGCATGACTGACACAATAGGAAAATCAGTGAGGAGGGAAGCACACATGTCTTTCAGTCTTGTCCTGAGGTCCACGCAGATGTAGCAATGTTTGTCTGAGTTAAGGATTTCACCTGTCAGAGTTACAGAGAGAAAAGGACACGGGTCTATGGGTTGTGCTAACTCCTCCAAGGATTTTCAGGCCTAGAGCCTTAGAGCAAGGACCACACCTAAGTCAGACAGTCTCATATCACAAGTAAAAAAAGAAGAAGAAAAGCGAGGATTTCCTTAAAGTCACTTTCTGTGGGCAGAGTGGAATTGTACCAGGTGCTCACAATTACATGACCGTGGCAACAGTCTGCAGGCTCCAGGATTCAGGTGTGTACTCACGGCATGGGGAGCACACTCATTTCCCAGGACCACTGATGATTACAAAGCAAGGGGAAGAATATGTTAGGGTCTCACACTGAACATAAGACTCAGTGAAAATTCCTCAGTTGCCACTCTTTGATGACAACCATTTTACTCAATGCCAAGCATAGGGCTCTGTAGTGGCATGTCATTTGTATTTTAATAAATAAAGCTCATCTGAAGATCAGAGAGTAAATCAGCTCCTCTGGACAGCCTTACAGACCAGACAGTGGTAACACACACCTTTAATCCCAGTAGCCAAACTATTTTGCCATAGAAACCAGGCGGTGTATGCCTTTAATCCCAGTGGTCCACAGTTTTAATCTCAGCCCTAGAAAGGATTATAAAATGGGAGGAGACAGTTCTCAAAGCATCATTCTGAGATTCCTGGAGGATCACCACTTTGGACTGAGGTTGAGGAAAGAGCCAGTAGTTGGCTGCTTTGCTTTTTGGATCTTCAGGTTAAACACCAATATTGGTCTCTGAGTTTTATTGATAATGCTTCAGGGTTCTGCCTTATTCTTCAACTGAACCTAAGATTTCAACAACTGTAAAAGACTCTCCAGAGTTGTCCATCTTAAGTGATTCTATTAAAAAATTCTAGAAAAATTATCAACTCTAGCAGACAGAAATTTCAATGTATATTATATAAGGATCTCAGGGTTTGTTATATTATAATTACCTGGAAATGTGATAACGATGCGTGTTCCTGCCACATAAACTCTTTTTTTTGGTCAGGATAGCATGCCCTTACACAGGAAATGTGTGAATAAACATTCCAGCGTTAAGTTCATTCATGGAGCACATTTAAGTAAACAGTCCTGCTGCCAAGGAAAGCTTTGGGATGAACAGGAAATATCAATAGAGCGAAAGAAGTCTGATGCTCTGAGAAGAGTCAAATAATGCTGTGAGGACACTGAACTTCAGCTGTAAGATCTAACTTGTCTGTAGCTACTAGGAATCCACAATAGCTCTGCCAAGAATGGCAGATTTCAGCTAAAAAGATTTCTAGTAAAGATGCTTACAGATGCCTCTATGCCACAAAGTGTGAACTAAGTGGACAAACAACCAGAGATTACTATCTTTTGTCCACAAGAGTGTGAAGTAAACTGACCACTTGTCAGTTACAGATTATCGGAAATAGCACCAATTACTGTACATGTATACAGTCATCATCATAGACATAAAGATAAAACCCTCCTAAGATTGCACTTCTAGAGAATTTAGCTGTGCTAACGATGTCTTTTGATCACCTGATTGCCAGAATATTTTAGTATGAGATACATAGATAGATAGACAGATAGATAGATAGATAGATAGATAGATAGATAGATAGATAGATAGATCAGAATTCAGAATTACCTTTGTCTTATCACAATGAAATAAATGGAGAGAGACAGACAGAAAGACAGAGAATGTGTGAGAAAGACAAAAAACATGGTGTTACATACAAATATGAGATACTAAATCAAAGTAAGTCAAATAGTGAGTGAATCTAAGTAATACAGGATTTCAGAGTGTGGCAACAGTAAAACTAATATTGAGTGTCTCAAGAAGAAATATAGACAAGTTTTAACAAGAAGCCTCTTTTCATATCAAACCCTTCCAGATTAATAATGGAAGTTTGGATGTATAGAAAAATGAGTAAACTATAAGCAATTGTACTCTCTAATGTGAAAATGAATGTAATAAAGTAATAATATTAAGCAAGAAGGTAAATATATAAGCCAGAAAGTAATAATTGTCAGGTAAGATCATATGCTTTGGGCTAAAATTAAAAAAAAAAAAAGAAGAAAAGGAGTGAGTGACAGGTGAAGAATGGCTCACCAGAAAACTACAAGACCTCCTCCTTCTCCACAGAGGGACTGCTTTAGGCACTGTCACACAGACCAGAGCACCTCGGTGAGAAGTCTGAGACTAGCTGGGAGGGTGCAGTCAGAGCCCACTTTAAAACCAAGGAGACGCACTACAGAGAAGGGGGTAAGTAACTGACGCAGCTCTCTCCTGCTTCATCCTGCAGAAGACCTAGGAGGAAACCTCCCACACTGTTGAGAGACAGATCAATCTACTTCTAACTTAGTTTGGGTTCTTGTTGCTGTGAAGAGACACCATGCCCACAGCAACTCTTATAAAGAAAACATTTAATTGTGGTGGCTCGCTTACAGTTTCAGAGGTTCAGTCCATTATCATCATGATGGGATCATGGCAACCTGCAGGCAGATGTAGTGGAGAGGTACCTGCAGGGAACAGGAAGCCAATTGTAAGTCACACTGAGGAAAGTTTGAGCAAAAGAGACCTCAAAGCCTTCCCCAACAGTGACACACTTCCTCTAATAAGGCCACACCTCCTAATAGTGCCACTCCCTTTGGAGTGTCCAAGGCTTTCTCAGAGGACCCTGATGAAAAAACAAAAGGAACTAATCCCATGTTGTTGCCCAGGATGAACTTGGCAAGGCTAGTCTGGGGATGCTGATAGGGCTGGAAAGGTCTTAAGGCTTCAGTTACTAGGAACTTGGATATTCCTGTATAAAGAGTGGAGCTGTCAGTCCCGAGCCCACTGTGTTCTTGATCTGCCATGCCCTTTCAATACTCATGCTCCCTTTGCACATCACTGATTGGTTAGCTTCCTGCTGACATCATCCCACTGCTTGTTAGCTTTCTTCTGGCGCTGCCCCATTTATCCCCTGCAAATAGTGTCTAAGATGCTGTATTTCTTAATAACTTTGCTTGGAATAAAGCACAGCTTCTGTAACTCATCCCAAGATTACCTTCATCTTCTGTATTTCTGCTCCCCTGGACCTTCCTTCTCAGCACCCTGTTGCTGAAAAACAACTTGTTGTTCAGGGTCATCAAAGACAGCCTCCTTTAGAATGAAACAAATTGGGTAAGAATGAAACTTTCTGGTTTGTTTGGGATACCTGACAAGTGTTTCTGAATTGTCATACTTGGACTGCCAATGGGCATGTCACCAGTTTAGAGCCCCCAAGTAATAGAGGAAAACATGCCTGAGGCATAATTCATGGGCAGGCAGTAGAAAGAGAAGGAGGCAAGAATATATTGGTTTGGGAGATACAATAACCTCAAATTGATGACGTTTACCTCAGATAAAGACCTTGCAAAGATTGGGAAAGATGTCCAAATCATAGGGAAAAAATTAAATACAAAAGATGGCCTAACAAAAAGAAAAAATACTTATTAAACTAAAGCATCACAGATTGTAAGCTGCTTATGACATAATTTTATTTCTGTTTTTGCATATGTGTATGTATATGGTGTGTGTGTGTATATCTGTTTATATGTATGTAGATTAGTATCTGTGGTATATGTGTGTGCTGGTGGAGGCAAAAGTGTAGGGACCCACAGAATGACCCTGCTCCACCTTGACTGACGAACAGAGAGTTTGAGCTTATTTTTTTGCTCTTTCAAAGTTGTTGACAACAGGTGTGGCTACACACCCTGACCTAGGCTGTGGTTACTTAGTGTTTTGGACATTAAAATGAACCACCAAAGTGGATCTGCTCCATTCTGACCAAAGGTCAGAGAATTCAAGCCTATTCCTGCTTCTTCATTTTAAAATAGGAGGATTTGACATATAGGGAGTGGCTGCCTACAGGATACTTGGTTTGGGTATATTCACTGCATATCCTGCCCAAAAGTCAGAATGCTTAACTGACGAAATAGTGGCCTGATGTTTCAAGTATTGAAGCAAATAACTGTTCTGGCTGTCCTTTGTGTCATGTTAAAGTAGTCTTTTGCCTTCTCCCCCTCCCTTTTTTTGTATTGGGGCAGAAAAGCATACGAAAAATAAATGTGGGCAGATTCAGTACTCAGTATACACTTGAGTTGCTCTCCCAGTACTATCCTGTGTCTCTGTGTTTCTTTCATATTTCCATTCCTCTGACCTAATGTTTCTAATCCACACACCCCTACGCTGGAATGTGCAAACCCATCATGGCTAGTCCACGACAAAAGTCACCCCAAAATGTGGCTTATGACGCAAGAGTTTGATATCAAGTGTCTTTGATCATGATCTATTTTAATTACTGAGTTGGGGTCTCTTAACAAGTACAGAGTCCTTTGATTCCATTATTCTAGTTATGCAGCCTGTTCCAGTGATCCCATCTCCACCTCACAAGCACTGGGACTGTTGATGGGCTGCTATATCTCCCAGTTATTTACACAGGTGTTGGGGTCTGAACTCTTACTGCTAACATGGAAATGGTTGACCTACTAAGCCTTCTCTCCAGCTCCTGGACACAAAATCCTTAAAACTTGTCATAAAGATGTTCATGGACACCACAGAGAAACAACTCTAGGAAAGCAGTGCATGGATGAATTATACACCAATGAAGATGTAGAAACCATAAAGAGAACCAAACAGAAATTCTGGGTAGAAAAATATAATAACTGAACTAGTTTAGTTTTAAGCAAGGATGAGGCTAGGAGACTGGAGGAGAGAAGAGGTAGAGAATGGGTTAAATAAAACTAAGAATGTATGAGAAAAAAAACTTATAGAAACCCAATAATTTGTAAGTATTGTAGTTTGAATGTCATTGGCCCCCATATAACGGCAAATCAATCCCACACCAGTTATGTTTTAAGGGGTTATTTATTTGGGGGGGTAAAACTTATATACACCATAAACCGTCAGGAAGGGAGCCTAGTCGCTGGAGCAGGAGCCGGGACCAAGTGCTGGAACCAAGAGGCCTGAGCCGAGATCTGTGGCTCTTTTTAAAAGAGAAATATACCACACCCCAGTGGGCTGGTATTTCAGCGGCTATTGGCTTACAGAGCGGAAGGCACTCCCTGCAGCACCGTGGGCTTGTGCTTCAGTGACTATTGACTGAAGCAGTGGAAGATACTCCCACAGCACCCATAATCTCACAATTCCATAATATCATGGGGAGTGGCACTATTAAGAGGTGTGGCTTTGTTGGAGTGGGTATGGTCTTGTTGGAAGAAGTGTGTCACTATAGGAAGGAGCTTTGAGTTTTCATATACTCAAAATACCACCCAGTCTGTCAGTCGGCTTCCTTTTGTCTACAAGATGGAGCATTCTCAGCTCCAGCACCATGTCTGCCTGCACACTGGCATGTTCCTCTTCATTATCATAATGGACTGAACCTGTAAGCGAGCCACCCTCCATTGAATGTTCTTTTTATAAGAGTTGCCGTGGTCATGGTGTCTCTTCACAGCAATAGTAAATCCTAACTGAAGCAGTAAATCCATTTAAGTTTGATATATTTGTAAAGGAGTTTGAGGTGAGTTATCCTGCCTAGGTAGGCAAAACTGCTCCCAGAAGACTTGGGTTATTAAACAAACATCTCAGTGCCCGGCATGGGATAGCTTACAAGTTCTTGGTCAGGGAGACATCAAAGGTCCCCAAAACAACACAGAATATTACCATTGTTCTTGATTGTGCACAATTACTATTAGCTAAGACCTTACTGCTGAAAATAACATATGGTTATCACAGAAACCCTCCAAGCTGTTGATCAGCTTTCATAACGCTGGAAGGCACTGTGCAGCCGCTGAGGGAGAAGCCATCAATGGGACCGCCCCACAACCCCAACCACGCATACCAAATGATCACTGGAGCTGTACTGGTATGAAGGTTATGGGGTAAACAACCGGTTTCAGAAGGAGTCTGAGGTCCCCTACTCCACAGGAGAGAATTTATGCCTGGTGCTCTATATGTATTGAAACAAGTGGTGTGGTGATTTGAATATAATGGCTGCCATAAAATCATGAGGTGTGGCTTTCTTGAGGTAGATATGGCCTTATTGGAGGACATGTGTCACTGTGGGGGTGGGTTTGAGGTTTCCTATGCTCAAGATACTGCACAGTGTCTGAGTCCATTTACTGTTGCCTTCTGATCAAGATGTAGCCTGCTCCATGTCTGCCTGCATGCCACCATTCCTTCTGCCATGATAATAATAGACTGAAACTCTGAAACTGTAAGCACCCCAATTAACTGTTTTCCTTACAAGATTTGCAATGGTAATGTTGTCTCTTCACCAGCAGTATAAACCCTGACTAAAACAATGACTGTGGAGATCATAGCCCAAGGTAAGAACCTATTGTTCTTTTGGTAAATGGCTATGCTATCAAACTACCTTCTAAATATCTATGTTTATCCCCATAGATTAATGATGCTTTTCATCTTGGTCGGTGAAGCATTTTTTTTGTAGTCAGTAATGATAAATGCACTATGAGTGTAACTGCTCGAAGGGCTGAGAATAAGCAACTGTGAGTGTCCAGCCTTAAACGTGATGTCTATATTAATTCCCACATGAGGAACATCGTGGAAAAAGCAAGGGATAAAAATGCAAAAATACCCTGAAATTCTCTCTCTGGATATGATATGGTCATTGCTCTTACAAACTCACAACTGCGGTTATCTGCACAAAACCATGCCTGTCAAAATTCCAGTATGGGCCAGGTATGGTGGCTCATGACTTTAATACTAGCACTTGGGAGGCAAGGACAGTATATCTTCTGTGAATTCAAGGCCAGCCTGGTCTATGTAGAGAGTTCCAAGGCGTGAGTTACTGAGAGATTACAAGAATTATTACCTTTCTGTACCACATACATCATTTAAAAGCAATTTAAAGAGAAAATTTTTTTTCAATTCCATTTCCAATGTTATTAAACAGACCGAAATATTTAGGAATGAAGCCAATTACAGGTGTGATGGATTTACACAATGAAAATGGTAAAACATTGTTGAACGATAGCAAATACTAATAAAATTTTGAGTTAATGGACTGAATGGCAATATTCTTGAAACTATCAAGTTACACAAAGTATCTATGATTTCAAAACATTCTCTATTAAAATCTTAATAAAATGTTTGCAGAAATAGAAAAAGTTATCCAGAAATCTAAATGGAATTTCAGAGGATTTTAAGCATTAAAAACAAACTTGGAAAAAACATGCACCTAATTTGAAAACATATTAACAATTTATTGTAATCAAAACTGTGGTATTGGCATAGATACAAACAGATCGAAGGAAAATTGCACAGAACAGAGAACATGAATAAAATGCTGTGTGTGTGCTCAAATTATCTAACAATTAATGCACCATGTCACATGACATTCACCCTTACTGCCAGCCATGTTACTGACTAAAGATGGTGGCAATTCACGTGTTGCTTATATCCCAAGAGGAAGTCATGCCACATGGTTTCTCTAAGATTATCTATACATAGATTTTTTAAACTATCAACTCCATGATAAAAGTTTTTAAGTTAACTTTTTTCATAGATCTTACAGATTTTAACCATATCCAATAAAGTAAACTTTTAAATCTTGAGATACAGAATGTTCACATAAACCAAGTCTAAATTTTTGGCTGTTCTGCTTTGTTTACTTTCCCCTGTTTCTGTGTCTGATGCTTTAAACTGACAAAGGACATAAATAAAATTTTAAGGATGCTTAAGCCAGCTTTCCAATAAAATTGAACAGCATAAAACAATTTTAATATTATCCACACCCAAAAGACCTCTAAACTCCTGTTAAATGGAATCCAGTGACCAGAGAGCTCAGAGATAAATTCTGAGCCCTGGTCATAAAAGCAGCCTTAACAGTGGGGGTAATGGGCAGCTGACTGCAGCAAAGATAGCAAAAATATATGACCCATTCCTATCGCAGCTTTGCCACAAAATTTATGGACATGGAAAGATGAAACTTTCCAAAAAAAAATAAGCAGACACAACTTTCTTGAAAAATAGCAAAACTTGCCAACAAAACAAACATAACTCTTCAAGCAGAACCAGAACCAGGTGGGAGGGTAACATTTCACTATATTGCCCTGGATGGCAGAATATTGGGGTCCTGCCAAATCTCCTCCATGTCTTAGATAGGGATCCCACAAAACAAAACCAGACTATAACTTACCAGGAGGCCTCTGTAGATGCCTGTTGCATTTCTAGACATGGCAGTTCACTCAAGACCCTCTGAGGCTAGGGATGTGCAGGCAGCAGTTGAAGCAGTCTTTAGTTCTTGGTTGTAAATCTGCTGGAATCGATTTATATTAAGGGCAAAAAATAAAGCTAAAGAATCTTAGAGGGAAATTTTTTTAGGTATACATTTGAAACTTTTAGATCCATAGTTCTGGAAGCTGGGAGAGGGATTTGCCAAAATCGGAAAAAGGGGAAGCGATTCCATCCCCCCAGGAATAGATAGTTGGGGAAACAGGTTGCTGGTTGGCAATACTTATCTAGAGTCTATTTTGACCAGTGAGAGGTGGATCCAAGTCGATCTCCTGAAGCTTATAAGAACCTTTAATTAATTTATTATTTTAGAGGCAAAAGTTCCAGATATGCTAGCATGTTAACATTTTCACTGTTCATAGTCTGTACTGAAACTCACATTGTCTAAAGGTAGTAGACTCATGCCCTGAGTCATAATGAAACTTGGTAAACCTAAAAATAATTTGGGTTAAAAGAACTCACATTTTTTTTTCTAGAAGACTAGGTGTATATAGATTAGACAAATGATTTAGTACAATGAGAAACATTGTTAGCTCTATATTTAGAAAATAACCAAAGAGAAATTTAAAATCCTATGCTTGTGACCAGGATAATAGTCAGTGTTTACCGGAGTTAGAGTAATAGCTTATCAGAACTTTATTGGTTATTAGAACTCTGAAAGTTTGAAGTTTTAGTATAACAATAGCATAGTGAGGGGGGAAATCTGGAACATTTTTATATACCATAAGGCATCTTTGAATACCCTCCCAAATGAGATCCATCAAAACACCTTTTCAGACCCTCGCCACCCAAGCCTTCATGTACTCAGACCTCTACAACTTGTATTTACATCCCTTAAGTTGTATTTTTTAGACCTTAAAACTTTATAGACCTTTACAGCTTTTGTTTTAATGTCTTTAGACTTTTTGTAAGCTCTACACTCTTTTTACCCAGTTGTTTACCATGAGATGTGGGCAGTTGATTACTGAAGCATGTATTGTAAAGCAAGTTACTTGAAATACAGTAATAATACAAAGTTGCTTTGAAACCTGTTTGGTGAATTTGTCTCTTTTTGGAATCTGTAGCAAAGCAAACTGTTTTCAGACCCAGCAGCAGTTTTGGGGAAGTGAGACCTGTGGCCTGGTTTTCACGGAAAAAGAGAAGTGAAAAGGCGGCTGAGATCTTGTGAAAGGAACTGGGTGCTTGCTGCTCTTAAAGCTGCAGTCCCTCCATATCCTCGTAGATCTGAAAAGGTCAGATAATAACAGGAAATATCATCCAAATGGTCTAAGCATCAAATGAAATGACAAAGACCCATTACCCAGACAGGTTACCCCAGGCTCTGGGGTTCTCCAGTTTTGTTAAAGGCAGTAGTTCTAGATCTTCAGCCATCACCCAGGACAGCATTTAATCTTTAGCTGCCATGCGGAACAGCACAGGCCTTTAGTTGCCAGAACCAGGTCTGAGATATTTTTTTTTCTGTAGAACAATTTAAGGGATTGGCTTCACTTTCACCAGAAAAAAAGTAGGATGATGAGCCCAAAAGTGTCCACACTTTGAGCAAAGCTGTGGCAACAAGTCAGTTATGGGGCAGTTTTGTCTATTATAGAAGCTTAAATGTTTTAAATGCCTTATTTTGCAGATCTCTGAAGCATATTGGAAACTATGTTTCTAATTACTTGTTTTAGGCTTAACTTTAAAACTTATACATAAGGTTGAGTAGGGCTTATTTTTCAAATTAATTACATTAGTATTTAGCATGACTATTAGCATAATTTTTAACCTTTTAAGGAATTTGATCATCTGTAAGCTGACTAACCATTAACTTGTATATTTTTAAATTATCCTTTACAGTTTAAAATAAACTAATAGCTTTTATAAGAACACAACTTTCTGTTCCTTCTCTCTCAGGATTAGCCTTTAAAAAATAATTATTTTGAATAAAGTTCTTCTAGTATCAAAATAAAACTTGAAATTATAGATACAGTCTGTAGAGAGACTGGTAACTTTAGAGTGTACCATGAATGAAAACAGGCTCAGCAAAGAAACAAAAATAGCCACCCCATGAGTGAAAAAGGACAAGGTTTATTCCAAACTACTAAGGCTTCTTCCTGAAAAAAAAAAAAGAAGAGATGACAAGGGAAAGAATTTTAGGGTAAAATGAGAATTGGAGAGTGCAGACACCTCTTAGACGGAGGTGAAGGAATTCCAGGAAAGAACCGAGAACAGTTATGAAGAAGCAGAGGATAAAAGTGTCATGGTCACAAGAATTTCAATCCAGGAATGTCTTCAAATCTGTCAGAGAGAAATGTCCCAAATCACAGAGGAAAGGCGTCCCTTTCCCTGTGGTGGAAGTCCAGTAGTGTGAGAAGAAGTTTCCTGGCATACGGGTATGGCTTTCATAGTAAAACTAAGCAAGGCTGGGAGCTCCACAGTGACACCCACCCAGTAGGAGCAGAGAGACAAGTGCACACAGAGCAGGAAGGGGAAGAAACTCCTGGGGAGACAAACAAGTAAAGGTGTCCAAAGTGCTGGGATTAAAGTGGGGTAGGGGATCGCCTTTTGGCCTTTCCAGTTTAGTGTCAGGGGTGTGGCACAGCACCTTGGACACTGTCAGCAAGGCCTCCTTGGTTAATTTTAGCCAAGTGGCCATTCCAAGGTATTTTCCCACACCCATAAGCATTCTGTGAGTTAACTTTTCCTTTTCTCCCACACCCCCAGGAATCACCCTGCTAGTGGGCATGATGCACAGCAGCAGGAAGTCCCACCAGCCCCTTTTTATGTTTCCCAGGGGAGGTGGGTGTGGAGTGACTTACAGGGTGTGCCAATCAGAATTATGATACTTTGCTGCCCCTTTCTCGGATCCTGAATGAGATAACAAAGGTGTTTCCTTTGTAGGAACCAAGAGCAAACTTTCCGAATAAACTGTAATATCCCAATGACTTGACTAGTAGAAACTTTTAAACATTTTGCTTTAACCATTTGCTTAAGAATATCTGTATAAAGAGCAGGTTCCTTTGAACCACACTGTCCCATTTCTGCTGGAACAGGCCACACACTTCTCAAAAGTTCTTTGATTGCTGGTCCCTCCCTAAAACCAGGGGCTCTCTTGAAAGGTCTGCAGCACCCTTATACAGGATCCTATTCCCTTCAGTCCCAATACAAACCACCTTCTTCTGACGCCACCCTGCCAGGGTCCAGTCTGCTCAGGTTCAGGTCCTGAGATGTGGAAGGGGCAGTCACACAAAGAAAAATTCTGACCACCGACCGACTGAATTGCACTCAAGAGAACTCGAATAGCTTGAGCTATCTTTATTTATACGTAAACTGAGTTTTTCTTGCCCAGGTTACATGAAAAGCTTTATTATTGGCTTCTATAGTTTTTACTTTTGAGAATTACATCATATATTTTATTGATTTTTATTGAGCTCTACATTTTTCTCTGCTCCCCTCCCTGCCTCTCCCCTCCCAGCTTCAACACTCCCGCAAGGTCCCCATGCTCCCAATTTACTCAGGAGATCTTGTCTTTTTCTACTTCCCATGTACATGTGCTCAACTATGTTCATAGAAGCTTTGTTTGTCATAGAGAAATACATCATATTTTAAGAAATGCATTGTTATTGTTATGAAAGCCTCGTTACCCGTTTACGCTTCCCCAAATATACTGTCCCATCCCCTACATAACCTTATTCTAGACATAGAGTTTAGCAATTTTTTTCAGTCTTAACTAAACATCGAGCCAGACACATCCTGCTCTCACAGCACTTATGTCAGCTACTTGAGGCTACAAAGTTTAAAAGTAATAGACATGGGTACAATGCTTTAAGAACAACAATATTTAAGCCCAAACAATTATTTCATGTCTGCAAGATAGGCTTTTATATAATTTGCTTTTCTACAAGAGGGTCTCAAGTCTCAATCTCTTGTAAAATGCAAACTTTTATAAGGCATTCTTTTCCCATCCCATTATACCATACTTCCTTTACCAATAAAAGCTCTTGTGTGTGATAAATATGGATCTCTCCATCCCATATTTTACATTGCATTTTTCCCATTGGATCATACTAGATTATATGATTGATTCTATACGATTGGTGTCCATGGAACTTACTCTCAACAGTTGGCACTATGTGTATTCCTTAGACCTTTTCCCTGTTCTGGGTATGTGTGCCTTACTCTCCTTTCCAGAACTGAGACATGGTTAGTGCTTCAAGTGTTGTTTTCTCATATGTACCTATCTCCACTGAGTCAGAAAAGTTCCCCAAATTAGGAATTTTAGCTAGTAATTGAAGATAAGAGATTTGAGAAGAATGAGCCCCTTTCTGAATCTTAGGGTAAAAATATTTGAGACAGAACAGAATTTCCTGGGAAAAATCACAGCTATCGTATGTTGTGACTGACAAAGTAAAATTAAAAACCTCCCGAAGAATCACCAATATAATGAGAGAGAAAAGAGTCGGCAAGCTCCACAAATTTTGCAAATTTCTACACAGTCCCATGGACTACTGGTCCTTGCCAGGTGAGAGCCATTTCAACAGGTTTCATGCCCCGAGAAAACCCATTGGACAGGTAGTCATGAGCTGATCCGAGACTAGTCTGCACAGCTTCTGACAGTTGCTTAGCATGAATGGGTCTTGTTCAGTGATGTGTGGGAGGCATACTACATTTTTTTTCTATTCTGCTTTTAGTGATCATCTACATTTCTGAATTGGCTGTTAGAAATAATGCTTGCATGACCATTTTGTACATGCCTTCTGTGTACATGTAAACAAGTAAAATTAGTACTGCATAGTCTGATTATGCATAACCTTAATAGCAATGTCAAAATTTCATTACATAGTTACAAACACTTATTCCATCAACTGTAACATATCACTCCTGAACATTTATGTACTGGTCTTTTATAGCCAGAATAATAGGTGGTTAGTGCTCTCTATAGGGATTTATTCTTGTGCTCTCTCTTTTTATTTTTTTTTTTAAGTGGAACAAGCACTTGCATCATCATTACACTGCTGTGGGTAGCAAAACTTTCCTCTCTATTATCACTGCCCATTCCTATTGGTGGAGGCTGCTTGTTCTTTTCCCGGATGCCCAGACTCAAAATAATCATACAGAAACTATATTAATTAAAACACTGGCCTATGAGCTCAGGTTTTCTATTAACTAACTCTTACATCTTAAATCAATCCATTTCTATTGTTTTATGTTTTACCACAAGACTTGTGGTTTACTGCTAAGGTTTCCAGGCATTTGTCTCCTTTGGTGGTTACATGGCATCTCCCTGACTTCGCCTTCTTCCCTGTTCCCATTTGTTTAGAATTCCCACCTAACTCTATTCTGCCCTGTCATAGGCCAAAGCAGTTTTATTCATTAACTAATAAAAGCAACACATATACAGAAGGACTTCCC